CTAGAATTACACTTTATATCCCCAAAAAGAGCCTGTGTGTGTCGTTTAAGGGGAAACGGGCTCAGAAAGGGGACCAAAAACACATTCTAAACTTAAATCTGGCGCCCCAAAATGCCCCAAAAACCCTTAAAAACCTTCAAACCGGAACAGAAAAGCCTTTCTGGTCCGTTTCCTTCTCTAGAACTACACTTTATATCCTCAAAAAGACCCCGTGTGTGTCCTTTTAGAGGAAACAGGCTCAAAAAGGGGACCAAAAACACACTCTGGACTCACATCCGGCACCCAAAATGCCCCAAAAACCCTTAAAAGCTCTTCAAAATGTTGCAGAAAAGCTTTTCTGGTCCATTTCCTTCTCCAGAACTACACTTTATATCCCCAAAAAGACCCCGTGTGTGCTGTAAAACCCTCCAGGAGCCGGTGGAAGCTCAGATCTGTGGAGCTCTGCTGCCCCCTGGTGGCCGGCAGAGGGAAGTGCAGCTGCAGGTCTGAGGATCTGAACCTGGATTTGGGGGGATTATAAGATTTGGAGCTTCTGTTTGAGGGGGAGGGGGTGAGTGGGGGGGGGGGTTTGGGGGTTTGGGGGTTTGGGGGTTTTGGGGGTCCTAGTCGAAGCCCTGCCAGTCGCTTTGCTCGGAGTCGTACTCCAACTCCATCCCGATGCAGCGCACCCCCTCCAGCAGCATGGGGGTGCCGTGGTGCCGGTCTGGGGGCGGAAAAAAAAACAGCACAGGTCAGAATCAGAATCAGAATAAGAATAACGTTTATTGCCAAGTAGGTTTTTAGACTTACAAGGAATTTGCCTTGGTGTTTGGTGCACAACACAACACAACACTTTCAATTCAATTCAATTTTATTTACATAGCGCCACTTCACAACAACAGTTGTCTCACAGCGCTTTCCAAACAGAGCAGGTCAGACCCTACTCTGAAGTTAATTACAGAAACCCAACAATTCCCACCATGAGCAAGCACTAGGCGACACAGGCAAGGAAAAACTTCCTTTTAACAGGCAGAAACCTGGAGCAGAACCATGGCTCAGGGTGGGCGGCCATCTGCCTCGGCCGGTTGGGGGTGAGGGAAAGAGAGAGAGAGAGAG